TAATAGTAATAGTAATCAAAGTTTAATGTCTTTACGTGGGGCATAGTTACCCATATTGCCCAAGCCAGAGGCTCAAGTATGAAACGCAAGACAACAACCCACCCATCCCATCCCACCCCAGGAGAGGACATTCATCACACAGTAATCTCGTGCATGGGAAATTAATGTCTCCTACCCCTAACCCTGCAGGAGACGGGACCTCCATTTATTTGTCCCTATCCAAGAAGACTAGAATCCAAGAAGACTAGAATATCTAAACCATTTCTTGATGTTATAGAAAGGCAGCATATTCTTCTCAATTATTTTAAGACCTTGAGTGTTGGTCCAGCTGGGGCTCAAACCCTCGACCTCCCACACAACAGTCCAGCGCTCTATCCATTGAGCTAACCAGGAGGCGGTTAAAGACAAGCCACAAGTTCCAGCTGCCAGGAAGTTGATCAGATGGATCTTACATCCAAAATCTAACAAACTCCAGCATAAAATTTTCAAACAATGTACATGTAAATGCAAGCCACATTATTAGTTTTGGTAAGATTTAGTCATGAACGAACCTTCATTCCTGATATATCTGCACTGATGTGGGACAACACTGATCTCTCTAAATTTGCAAGGTTGTTAAGGTTCCAGCCTGATTTGGCATAAAACTGAAAAACATTCATACGAAGATAATTGTGAGTTAATAAAATCAACGCCCTCAGCTAACTTGGTTTTACCAGCTGAGTAAATAATGTAAATTGGCCACATAGAGAGTCTCTGAGGCTGACCTTTTGAGTGTCGGTCTTCTGCCCTTCACTCCGATGAAGGGCTGATGCTTGAAATGTCAGTTTTAGTGACTCTTTACACTGGCTAATATACATCATGAACTCATTTGATAAAACCATTATCATTTTGTTACGCCCCCCCCCCACCCCACCAAAGTAGCACCACAGTTTTCTCTAGAACACCAAAATAATTTGTACATAGTGTCAACAGAACCAGATAATGTAAAAGAACTCCTCCAATCTAAAACTAGTTACACATCAGGCAACTTCAAAGGAACACTTCCCTGAATTATATTCATCCCATGCATAGAGGTTTTTGCACAGCAGCCATGTTGGATGGCAGGAACAATAGATTATTTTACCCATGGGAAAAAAAAAATTCTTTCTTATGCAAAATATTTTTATAGTTCCTGCCATCCAACATGGCTGCTGTGCAAAACCTCTATACAAAGCAGTTACAATCCTAACTTACTTTTAAATGACCTTGTAACCCAAGGTAGAAATAAATCTAAAACACACAAGCTCCCTTGCTAAAGACAAGTGTGCACAGAGTACACACTTTCCCCTTTGTTGTGAATAACTTGAACCTTGCTGTATAAATATTTTCAGAGCTCTTTTAAGGAAGTTAACATACGATAAATTTGAGACCCTTACTTCCTCTTCACTAGTGACAGCATTAAATTTAGTTGGGAATCCGCTGCCGTGTGTTGCTGTATGAAGATCAGCACCATATTCAACTGTCACCTGAGAAAATTATCACGCAAACTGATTAGTCCACAGTGGTGAAGATTTGAGCATTTTTACATGTATGTGGTGTTTCTTTGATGCTTATAGATATTGATTAATTTCACGATAAAATAAACTTAGGAACATCTAATGTTTAGATTATCTCACTTACATCTTCATCCATTGTTGAAACTAGTCTCCAGAACTCTTTCTCTACAACTTCAGTAGGTACTTGCTGAGGAAATACAAGGAAAAAAAAAACCTTTTACATCTTTTGTCAAGATGCATTCAAACCCATTCCTCTGACTTCAGAGATTACAAAATCTACTCAGCACAATGTAACACAATGTACTAATCTAGGGTTGGTACGTATAACAGAACACCCCCTCTGTGCATGTCCCCTTTGAGACTTTCATTTTTCATGATAATTGTTGAAAATTTCCTCATTCTATCGTGGGCCACAAGATAGTCATTGGCACCCAAATATGTCTTGGTATAAAGGTTGTTTCTCAGACAACAAAGATTAAAATTTTGTCTATGTATTCCAGCAAAACCTGTACATTACCATCCAAAATTTCTGCCAAAGTGAAAGAGAAGTAGTACCTCTGGTGGGAGTTTAAAGTATTCTCTCTTGAAATTATCTGCCATTTCTCCAAATGATTGCAATGTGTACTCTCTCTTGGCTTGCTCAAAGCCAAAGGCCTCCTGTGGCTTCTTGCATTCCTAAAGACAAAGAAAAAATAATTAACCAATCAACTCCCAAGATCTGATTGTTAATTCTCCCCTCTTGCTGCTACACATTATTTTGAATGATCAAATAATTGCAAGAGAAAAATTATTCACACAGAGTTGGTAAGTCAACCAGCTGGCTAAATCAGGCATTCAGTCAATCAGTCTTCCACTCAGCCTGTCTGTCTATCAGCACAGCCAGTTGAATCAACCAGTCAGTCAGTCAGTCAGTCAGTCACTCAGTTGGAGTTTATTTGTCTGTGTGTCTATCAGCCAACCAGCTGAATCAGTCATTTAGTCTGTCTAGTTGTCTGTTAGCCAGTTAACTAGATAGTTAAATCAATCACTCAGTCAGCCAGCTTGACAGTCATTCATTGGTGGTTAGACAATATTCAAAAGAACAATTGGAACAACTTCTAGAGACATCACACCAGAAAAATGATTTATATTTTCTTACCTCTGCCACACATCTAGGGCATCTCCAATCTCCACGTGGAACAGATGATAAGGGTGGAATAAGACAGTATGTGTGGTAACTGTCATCGCACCCATCACAAAGCAACATACTTTCTTCAGAATCACCACGACTGCATACTTGACAAAGGTATTCATCAGGCTAAGCAAATTGAAACATGTAAAATTACTACATCAGTATTTAGTACAATTAAAAAATAAAAAAAAAAAACATTAGTTCACAAAAGTAACAATATCTAAGGCTTTGTATGTGGTATGTGCTGTGGCCTCTGGGTTCAAGCCCTGGCATGGGAAGTTGTGTTGTGTTCTTGGGCAAGACACTTTACTCTCACAGTGCTTCTCTGCATCCAGGTGTTTAAATGGGTATCTGCGAATTTATTGATGGGGGGTAACCTTGGGGGAGGTAAAAACACTCCTTTTTGCTTTGTGCTATGGAAACTGAATTTCAGTGCCAGCCTGATGGGCTGAACAAAGTTGCAACAAAAACATTCTAGAAAATCGCATTACAGAAATCTATATGCTATCTTCAGTTTTGCACAGGTGAAGAAAGCATTGATTGTATACTCCAGTCAGAGAGATAACAAAAACATCATTATGATGTCCAAAAGCTCAACTTTACTAACTAATTTGCCTATGGAAAATGAAAATGGTCAAATCAGAAACATTTGAACTCCAATAGTAGGGTTTTACTTCTAAGTAGCTACTAAGCCTACCAAAATAAGCTGAGAGTTTGAATAAATGTTTTTCCTGCTGGCTTGTCTTACAGGTCTTCTCCTTGTCAACTCTGGTTCCTTCTGCATTAAATTTTCCAATTTAAGTTTCATGCTTTGTTTCTGTCTTGCCATTCTTTGTTTACCGGGGGATGGCATAGCATCACCATTCATCTTGGTTTTACGAGGTGAGGGTTCAGTTTTCTCTTTATCTTTCTCTTTCTCTTCCAAGCTGTTTGTGATCTCAATCTTGACTGGGCTGTCTAGAAGTTCTAAGTGTTGGAAAAATTAATAGGAAATTGGAAAAATTAATTAAGTTCTAAGAGTTGTAGGTGACTGCTGTAAATGGAATGGTGCACTCTATAAAAAATTTCTCCTACAGTTCAAGCATCTGTGTAAATTTTAGCAATTGTTTATTCCAGCAACACATGTAAAGGGGATTATAATTGTGTTACAATGATAGAAAACAAAAGTGATACATGTTGTCATAATGTGACCTGGTGACAGCTTCACTCTTGACTATCTCAAAGGTTGTATGTAACAATAGATTAGCAAGCTCACAAAGAGCTACTGTAACAGTGTACACCGTGTTTTAATTTATACAGCAAAGCTTTATGCTCAACTTGAATTGTGATGTGCAAGATGCCTCTTCAATCCAATGAACTTTGATCACAAGGTGGGCATCTCAGAGAACAAGCGCAAATTATTTCTGAGTTGTGACTGGTGGATTGTAATTTGCTTTACTTAAAATAGCTTCTTAGACTTTGAACTTCAAAGTTAACAAGGACAACTTTGATTGTTGTAAATATAAAAAGTCCATGGATGCAAAATTCCTGAAATTTTAAAGATCTATATTTAGGCACTTTCCTCAATAATACCTTCTTTTATATTAACTTCTTGTTTGGGTAACAATGTCCCCTTTGCGACACCAGCCATCTTGGGTCCTGGAGCAAGAAACTGCAGTTTCTTTAGCTCAGGGTTATTTTCAAAGTCTATTGAATCAAGCTTTTGAAACAAAAATGAAACAAAACAAATCAGTGATCAGAAAGCCATAGTGAAAAGGAAATGCAAGTCAGTATAAATATAATAGCTACAGGAGCTATTCCCTGCAAGGCTGTTAAGTCAACTCTCTTTGAAATTGCCAAGTAAATTACAGAAATATCTTTATTTCACTTTAATCCATTAACCCCTAGGAGTGATCATAATCTAATTTCTCATTACAAATTCACCCCCTTATCACACACTAAGATCACCAGAATGAAGAAAGTAATCACCAAACTTAGACCCTTTGATTGTTAAACAGATTATCCTTGTGGGTATCAAGGGAAATGTGTAGAGAATATAGATCCTGATATGAAGGTGTAAAGAGAGTAAATTGAGAGTAAACGAGTCACGGCTTACTACCTAACCACCTAACACAAGCTGACTTGCAAAGACAATTTGGTGACTTTGGTGGGGATTTAGGGGCCAAACTTTTCCCTTCTTGCCAAGCACTATCAAACAGCTAGAGACCACATAGGTTGAGAATTACGCAAAACGTGCAGCTTACACACCTCTTCGGCTTTTATAACCTTCTTTGATCTCCGGGACATTTGGTAGTTAGTATTAATAACACCTCCATTTGGAGCATACTCTTTTTCTTTCTGATCTTTCTTGCCATCAGCACTCTATAAGAGAGAATACTATAATATTTTAACAAAAATATTAAAAATAATGGCTCCGTTCTTTCATTGCCTTAAGTTAAAGCAGATTTACTAAAACAGGATCAATCAAATAATGCAAGACTTTCTTTCAGATTAACCACCCATCGGTGCTAAAAATAACTGGATTCCATGAATGATGCTATTGTATGCAGTACAAGACAACAATAGATAAAACAAATGAAACCTAAAACACACAGACAGACAAACAAACCACCTAAACAGAGTGACAGACAAACAGAACCACAATTGATCACTCACCCAAAATAGTTTAAAACTTAAACAAACAATATAAAAAGAAAACACACTCACAACCATCAAAATATGTCACATTTACCTTTTCAACAGTTTACTAGGGGAATAATTCTTGATAACACCAAACAACTGACAAGTTGTTAAGAATTTACTAAATAATCTTTTTACATTTGATATCAATTCTGCAGCATGCATCAAACAACTACCATCCTCAAAGGATCTTTTTTGGCTTTCAGCCCTTTAATTAACCCTTAAGAGTGATATGCATTTCTCCCTTAAGTTATACACTGGAATGAAACATTAAGATCATGAGAATAAAAGACTATCGAGCAAACTCAAGATACTCTTGATCATTAGAGAAATTCTCCTTATATGTACCAAAGGAAATGTATAGAGAACAGTGTGGAGAAATGACAAACTGATGCTGGGGTGTAAAGGGTTTATCTTGGTGTGTTTATCCGAATTATCCTACGGTTTTCTTTTAAGAAGTTTCAATGTTGCAACCTTTAAATATAGACATGCATGTATGTGAGAAAGACAGAAATTCCAAGAAAACCATGCATGATCAGAATTCTCCCTTTTACTTTTAACAACAGATGAAAGAAATTTTCAAACTGGTAGAGAGATCCTTCTATCTATTTATTTTTAAAGAATTCCAAGCTATTTCAGGCATTAATGAAAAGTACAACAAGCAGTACATTTTACTAGTTACCAGTCTCAACAGGAGAACAATGCAAGATGTGGCAAAAGATGGTTAAATGAGAGATTGGCGAGTGCTGGTAGAGATTGACAACCTGCCTGAAGCCAGAACAGGATTGGTCCTATCTCCACTAGGAAGAGAATGAAATGATGATAATGATGATAACGTAGAGCTCAAGTAATTGAAAAACTTAACAAACCCCTGGCTGAGGATCTCCAGTGAATGCTCCTGCTTGAAATATATCATAAGGGTAAAGGTACTTTTCGTAATTCATTCTCAAAAGAGATGGAGCTGACTTTCCAAGGAGATAACCCATCTGTGGAAACAATCAACAATGGCTTATTGATAGAATGTAAATAAAAATACCTGATTTTTTCAAGGGAAGGATGACATCACCACTTTTTTAATTCTTATCTAGCCAATACACAATAGGCTTCCTTCAACCAACCACCTTTTGCTCTTAGTAAAACTGTAATAGTGATTCACATAAGACTTCATTGAAATCCTAAAAGCCTGGATGTTGATGATCAAAAAGCACAACAGCAGGAGAGCTGTGTGGAAGCAGACCATAGAGGGAACCTGATGCAAAAGATGATGCACCAATCACAGCTGTGGAATTCCATCCAATAACAGCTGAGCACAACAGCATATAGAAGACAACATTGTGAGACTTGTGATTACAATCCTCTTTTGAATTGTACTAGTGATAGTTTCAAGGAGGTTTTGGTAAAAATGGTCTCCTAAATTATATTTCTTTGAGCAAACAGCTTGTGAGGTGCATTACCTTGGATGAATGGGGACAGACATTTCAATATACATACCTTTCTTGCCACAACAGACCACTTCTTCTTCCTTGTGACATATTCAAATCCTCCCTCTTCGCTTACAGTCTAACAAAGAAAGTTTTCAAACTCAGATAGGACATAAAATGTCAGAGTTTTTAATTAATAACAAACCCTATACTTGCTTATAAGCCAATAGTCTTTGTAATAGTGGATGTTCAGTTTCCCTTATTAGTGAAACTCAAGGGATGCATGGATTGAAGTGACTTTGTGTGCATCATCAACTTCTGCTTAAGTTTCACAAAGCCATATAAGGCAATACCAATGAAGAATTCAACAGTCTATCAGATATCACTTCAGGCTGTTCTCTTGCACCCCTTTACTTGCATAGATAAATAGCACTTTGGAAACATTAATTTTACATGTGTAAGTATATTTTTTTGATGATTCAACAAACAATTATCTGGAAAACATTCCAGAGTAAGATAACAGGCAACAAACAGTCAGCACTCACAATGTTAACTTCTAGCCACTCAGATAATCATTAATAACCAAGAAGTAACCTGCTTAAATGACCTATTGGTTTAAACAACAATACTTGTGTGTAAATAATGGCTGAGACAAAGTTGATTAGATCACTGTGTTTGGGTTGATAAATTACATCTCAACATTGGATTTCTGTATAAAATAACTAAAAGATTATTAATGAATAACTGTTTGTGTTAGAAACTAAATGACACTGATGTTTAACAAACTTTAATAAGATACACTTTGCATAGTACCAAACAATTTGATTCACATCAAATTATATAGCAAACACTCCTACAGTGATTGAAAATGTTTGCTAAACATGACAATGCAGACACTTTTCATCATCATTTTTATCAAAAGATCATCCTCTCATGCAGCAAAGCAACTGTACCAAATAAACAACTTTTGGATCTAGATCTATGGTTTCAGGTTTTGAATATAGCACCACAAAAACTGTCAAACAAGAAGAACTATGCACAAGAAGTTGGCAAGGCACAAAGATTTTCCTTTGATTGAAAGAAATCACTGTGGATCTTGATTAAGAATATTTCAAAACTGTGTATATGTTATCTCATAATCTATAAACAATTTTAACACAAGTGCTTCCTAAAATTGTTAAACAGTTTACATAGTTGGATGAGAATTAAAGCAGATAACTATACAATTGATATTTACAATGCTTTTAGTTTCCAGTTGGAGTTTGGTATCACAACTTCCTTTCTTCTAGTTTCAACCAGCAGATCATGACTGAAAATGGATCTTTTTAAAACTCTGATTGTCTGGCCAACAAGCCACAAACTCAACTTAATCCCCTTCAATGAATACTTACTAATGAAAAATGTTATGTCATCCTAAATACGTCCATCAAACTGAAAACATTTCATTACAAGCAAAATATTTCCTTGCGATGAGGGAACAATTTGGCAAACTAGATTAATACCTTTTGGCCATGATTCATAGCAGAAATACTTGATTCTATCTGGGAAAAGTTGTGGAACACACCCTTAGGTAGTGGTATATGGTTTAAAACATGGCTGCCTAAAGGTTCGCTATCTTGCGTTTCGTAATAAAACAAAGAAATTTGGTAATAAGACAGGTAATGATGAAAGGTCTGCCAAGGCAGAGGAGACCACGAAGTCTATACCCCACATTACGAATTCTTTCTGAGATCGCCTTTCCTGGTCATGAAGGGTACAAACTTCCTGGAACACGCCGAGCAGCGCTTGAGTGATCTAAACTATTAAGGAGATAAAATAATTATGGGTCCACGTTGCTTGCACAGCAACTGGTTTACCAAAGACTTCGTAACGAAATATCCCTCAAGTTTATTTTACCTTGTGAAGCCGAAAGAGATCCAAACTTTTCCTCTCAACTGTTGGTATTTTAAAAGTTGTACCCTACAAAACGAACCATTAAAATGGAGGGGCCAGTTAGACCTTTGAATATACGTTAAGAATAAGAGATGAGTTGTAAACATGGCTGCCATCGATCTTAGGATTTCAAAATTGTGAATTCTCATATACGAAGAACATGGGTAACTCGTGATGTATATTTACCTGAAGTTCCCACAATTTGGCGAGTCTATCCAAAAAGTTTAGTTTCACCCTTGTTCTCGCCTGTATAAACAAAGCAACAGCTATAAACGATGATCGGTTTGAGAAAAAAAAGAAAATTGTGATGGGAGGGACACATGGTTGGTTAAAGCCTATAGTCTGTGATTCTTGATAAAACTCCGATCTTCATTTAAGAAAAGAACGAGCGCCAACTTTTTTAGATGGAGCAATATATACAAGAGAAGACTAGAGGCTACTTTGTGGGTCGTTGTGAGTTAAAAACGACGTTTTGTTACAAATAATATCCAATGGATTTCTCGAAAAAGACGAATAGGTATGTGTTACCTCAAGTTCATTGAGACGCTGAACCCTCGGCGTAAATCTAAAAGTTTCCACATCTACTGAAAACGGAGGCTGCCATTCCTAAAATTAAACATTAAATTTTGTTTAAAGTCCTCTTTTTCTCCAAATAATGCTTTCACATGGAAAAAATAAGACTTGGTAATCGAAAAAAGACTATTTCTAACCGGGGGAGGCCGGACTTTGCAGATGCCAGTTCTCTCTGCATAAGGCCTTATTTTTGCAATGTACGCCAAAGGGTCCTGAAATTCCTCTTCAGTTGGTTCGAAAACTGGGGCCTCTGGAGGTGGAGTGAAAACGAACTCTTCCCCTTCTTCCTCCATGGCTGTTGTTGAGTCAGGACAGGACCAGCCATTTCAAAACAAAGGACTCACATTTCTCACAAACCAACGCCATTTTTAAAATCGACTAATCATCTCGTCTGACTGACGGCTTTTGTGTCTTTATATTATGAAAGTCACATGATCAACTTTCCTGGTTGTGATTGGATCTGTGTTTTTTTATGACGTAAAGTTCCGTTGAAATGGAACGGGTCCTACACACTGAAGACTCAAATAAACGTTAGTAAACAAAACATTTAGGTAACAAAAGTTACTTCTCTAGACACAACTCAAGCCATATGGGAATTTTATTTGTCATCTGTGGCTTCATATTTCATTAGTCAAGGAGATGAGCTTCCGAGACCACCATGAACGCACGTTTCCTGTCAAGAATAAATTCACGTGACCCTCGTTTACACGATTTTCAGAGCAATTTATGCTCGATTTGATTAACAAAAGATTCGAGTGGTTTCCTGATCAAAAAGTGAAATATTCGTTTTTGACGGTTGCAAAAAATGTACCTCAACCATTTACAAACAAGTCTGAAACTTAACAAAACTTTCGCACCCTTACCAAACTGTATGGTATTTTCCTCGATCCACTGATCTGATTTCTGAATCTTGAAAACGTTCTTGTAACTCGCATGACAAACGTGACACTGGATAAAAAGTTTTCAGGGTTGTGTCAAATATGATCAAAACCAACTGGTCTTACCATTGAAGCGCGTAATTGACCTGGTTGCTGTTTTAAGTTACTATTGCAAGTCTTCACATTTTTTTTATCTGAATAATTTTCAGTTTGTTTTTCCTCACGGTTAATTTGGTCTTTTTGTTTTCTCTTTCGTTCTCTGTGTTTTAATCCGTCTTTTTCTTCTATCGAACTCTCAAAGGGTCTTCAAACGCCTTTCACAGCCCATAGGCACCCATACCGGAAGTAGCTGTTGTATATAGGCCTCAATGCGGAAAGAGGAAGGTGAAGGAGGCAGCTGTATTCGATACGGTACAAAGCTACCAAGTGTAGAACACCTGGTAATTATTCATTTCCCTGGAGGCTTTTCAGAATGTTTGCGCTTAAGCGAGACAAAATCTCTCTTCATAAACAGTTTAATTTTTTTTAGCATTTCCTGTTTTTCATCGTTTGTCATGAATTTTCCTTTCATTTTAGCGCCCGCCATAATTAGAATCAGCGGTTCTCCACTCGAAAGTTCGTTTTCCGCCAGATTCAAAATGGCGGCCTTTTCTCCGGAACCTGAAAAGCGACATGAATCTCCTTTGCCAACGGTAAACGAAAGGTTGGGGCATCTAAAGCCTTCCAGAGAGCTACTAGAATATTACAGAAGAAAAATCGCGGAATATGATGGCGAATATGAAGAGATGGTGAGGAAACTGGAATTATATAAGTGCACGTACGAAGAACAGGTAAAATATAATGAAAATTATTGTTGTTGTTGAAGCAAAGATCACTGATCAAGATATCGATGGTGGCTGATCTAGAGATTTTTGCATTTCCATAGCATAAGACGCAGTGGGAACTACGGCAACGTGAAGAAGAGATCGCCGAGCTGCAAAAGGCGCTCAGTGACATGCAAGTTTACTTATTCCAAGAAAGAGAACATGTCTTACGGTTGTACGCCGAAAACGACCGCCTGAAAATTCGCGAGCTCGAAGATCGCAAAAAGATACAGCATCTGTTGAGTCTTTCAAAGATGACTGAACCTGAAATTACTTACTTTCACCATCAGCCACCGGCGAAAGCTATCGTCGCGCAACATAAACCAAGAGACAAAGAAGGCGGGGGTCGAAGGCCCCTCGCCGGACGTGGCCCCGGAGGACACAAAAGGGGTAAATGATAAGATGTTTCCTTCTCTTAGTCCAACTCTATAGTAGGAGTTTCAATAAAAGAAGGTTACTTGGAGTCGATCACTATATACAACGCCTCTTGCTACCATATATATGTGTAAGATTTGTATGGCCCCTTTTAAGCACCCTGTCGCGCAAGATGTTCTTCGACTTAAGGAAGGTGCTTCTCTCTTAGACCTTTTCTAGGATTGATTGAAGGCTTCTCTACTGGCAGGGTGCATGTTAGGGTCAAAGTCACCTTTGCCACTATTACCAGCCCCTATTGCAAAAGGAGATAAAAAAAGACTTCCCAAAAGAATTTTTTGGAAGGGATTGAATGAGGATCACTTGTTAACATATTCGGTTATTCACTTGGCTATCTTATTTTAGACTCACTTGGCTATCTTATTTTAGACTCCACAGGAAATGTTCATCCAGCTAGAAATGTTGCAGAAGCTGATGACAACCAGACCCTTTTGCTTCAAATAGAATCCTTGCAGGCTCAACTTGAAGAACAGACAAAGCTAGCAAAGGAGCAAGTGGACGCCTTATTCGAGGATCGCCGAGTACATATGGAAGAACAACAAGCACAGCGGGAAAGAGATGCAGACAAAATCAAAACAATGCAGGAAAAGTTGCGGAAAACACAGGATCTTCTTTACGATAGCACTAAGGATTTCTTAGAGCTGAAATATGAAATAAGAGCCAAAGAGAGGCACTGGATGGTTGATCGAGACAGATTAGCTCAGGAAATTGACCATCTGAGAGAACAGCTTGATGTGAGTGGTGTGAGTGTGTTAGAAGTGTCAGGGGAGGTAATGGAGCCACGGCAAGTGCAATTAGTGGCAGTTCAGTCACTCAGACACCAACTTGAACAGACACAGAAACTTGCAGAAATGTACAGAGAGCAGTGTATTGGTCTGGAAGATGAGGTAGCGAGAATACGAGAGAAGACTGATGTTAGTGAAGACATTTTCAAGGAGCGCACTGAGAAGATGAGCAAGAGATTGGCCCTGATGAATTCCAGATATGAAAACCTTGAGAAGAGGAGAGCCATGGAA